TTAAAAGGTTATAAAACAATCCACTGGACTTTATTGCCAAGTTTGAAGATAATTTGCTTCCCATCCAGGAAGCTGTCTCAATTCAAAATGTCTGGAGTAACGCTGATTTCCAGGCTTTATAGAATATACCAACAAAGCCTTGTTATGGCTTAGAAAACATGCAAATTGAACCAAATCTGTTTTTTCAGTTGAATTTGCATGTCCCCCAGGAGTCGGATGGTTCTTATCATCAGCATTTAGGAGGAATTCAACTTTATTGGTTTCAATGTAGCAGGAGTCTTGACCTGATGATCCAGAACACCTTAGAGAAGAACTGGGTTTAGGCTATGTAGAGACTTAGACTAAAGCTTTGTTAAGCTGGTTCTTCACACTGAGATGGTCTCTAAGGGAAAGATGAAGCGACAACTGTTTCTGAAGTGTTCTGATTGGCTGCTACAGATCCAGAAGCTGCTCCACCATGTTTCCCACATTGTGTAATAATGGAACTAAACGTGTTACTGAAGCTGCCTATGAAGGCCTGGACTCCCTTAAAAAAGGGTTTTTAACATTAATGAGATCCACCTGGTTCCAAAAACAAGCTTCATTAGAAATGAAAAATCAAAAAAATGCTTCCTGTGGTTCCTGAAAGTAAAACCCTAAAAAAACACTGAGATGTTAATGATTAAATTAAAATTAAAATTGATATTAACGAAAAGATCATAGATGAATTTCCTCATCAACAAGTATATAACTGCAGCAGCAGTAGATGTGCTCATAGAGTTGAAGGAGCTCTCAGCAGATTTACCGTTTTAACGTCATCCTCGAAAACTTCTCTGGCCTCCTCATAGCTGCACATCTCTTCCCTGCACTCCCGCTCCAAGTCATCCGGCACCACCAGCTCAAAGTCCCAGTGGTTGTAGAGCAAGGAGCGAGACATGAAGGATGCTGCCGCCTGCTCATCCAGAAACACTGGGCCTCCTGCAGGACGTTTATAGTTCAGTGAAGGAATCTGATCAATTCCAGCTTTATTTATAAAACTAAATTTCTCAAAGGACCAAAGGTCTGTACAGTGAAACAACATAAAACCATTACATAGACATACATTTAAAAAAAAAAAGATAAAAGCATAAAACATAACAAAACTAAATTCCAAACTATAAAATTTATAACAAAAATAAAATTTAAATAATTTATCACAGGTTAAAATCAATATCTCCCTTAGTTTTGAAAGTGAAGGTAAAGAGATGAGTTTAAAGAACGATTTTAGGTTGTTCCACATTTTTGGAGCTGCCACAGAGAAAGCACGACGCCCAAGCTTCCCTTTAGCTTCAGGCACTTCAGGAAGCAGCTGATTGGCTGAGCAGAGTGAACGGGAGGGTGCATGAAGGTGCAGCCACTCAGAAAGACTGGACGAAGCAAGACTACGTAGAGACCTAAAAACAAAAAAAGAATTTT